CATCCCTGAGTAAGGGACAGGTGAGAGCAGCCTTCCAGATTGAGTGATTTGCAGGAGATAATTAAGTCCCAGTGCAATGGGCACCTGTCAATGAAAGCAAAATAGCCTTTGGGGGACCAGCAGTTAGCATAATGGCTATGTCGCTGGACTCCCATGTAGTCGACCACGGTTTGCATCCCGGACCCGGTGGCTTAAACTCACGCCGGGCGTGTGCGTGCGTGCCCAAGATCCCGAGAGGAAAATGAAGGAGAAGGGATTGCGGCGTGGCCATCCCCCTGGGGGCTGATTTCTCGCTTTCTGTTTCTCTGTCTCTCTCTGTCTGTCTGGCGAGTACACGCACCCTATAGCAAAAACCTCTCCAAAAAAAAAAAAAAAAAAAAAGAGAGATAAAGCAAAATAGCCCCTGTGTTATTACAAGCCACTGTCTGCTGCTTGTTTAAAATGTAGATTTCATTCATTAACAAGGATGACAGTTGTTTAAAAACTTAAGACCTCTCCCACTGGGGTCTTGGGACTCATCGCATACTTTGATGTTTCCAATTCCTGGAAAGGAATAATATTGACAATTCGATTTAGTCTAGTGCTTTTATTTTTCATTCTTGCTTCCAAACTTGAAGGAAGTCCCAGCATGACAAAGGAGGGCTGTTTTTAAAGCTAGAAACACCTTGAACCTCTTTAAATATCTTGATGAGAAGCTAAAAAATGGAGTAGTCCTTTCTTGTGCCAGATTTTGCAGGGCACCGCTGATGTGTCTGGACTTCTTTTATAGGAACCAATTATGGAGTCAGTTTCCAAGCAGGGACACACTCCCTGCTTGTCAGGCTGTGAGCTTCTCCTAGGAGCTTGCGTACTCCCATGCCCAGTCGTGCCTGGTTCTGTCACAGGCGGCTAGAGCTGGACTCCTGGGGAGTCCCATCTCAGCTCCCACATGGCCCAATTAGAAGGTTTTGCAGACTTTCTAGATCCCTGAACCCTGGGTGCCTCCACAGAGCATTGGCTTGAAGAACAGAGGGGGGCTTGTTTGATATTTGTGACGACTGACATTCCATTTCCAGCTGTCTCACCTTAGCATCCGAATGAACCACTGTATGTAATTCCCTGGAAATAATAGCTCTTGGAAATATGGGGCAATTCGAAGAACTATGGTTCTGGGACCTCGTAAACATCAGTCTGCCGAGGGTTACAGGCACACAAATTACCCAGTGCAAATGAAGGCAGCTTGTAGACGACAGAGTAAATAACTCCCTGTGCCACGGCTGAATATATTCGGGTGCATTTGGTTTGCTGGGTATAGTTCCTAATACAAAGAGACTTGCTTTTTAAGTGGGAGCTTAAATATAGTACCCAATTATTCACGGTTTTTCTTATTTATACCCTACCACATTCTGGAAGGGAGTAGAGGTAGCTTATCAAAGCACATGGAACATAAAATGCATTAAGTCAAGAAAATGAGGCAAAAAAGAAAGACACGGAAGGAGCAACATAGAGGCAGGGACAGGGTCCACAGGTGGGTGTCTTAGCGTCAGGTGCAGAGCCAGGAGTAGGTTTACAGAGAAATCAGACACGTTCCTCTATCAGCTAACATCTTGTATTAGCATAATACATTTGTTACAATTGCTGAGCCAATGCGGTTTTTCTGTTTTTGTTCGAGGGCACATGGGCTTGCCCGAGAGAGACAGAGGGAGAGGGAGAAGGAAGATGAGAAAGCACCCTTCATGGGAATGGTCACACGACAACCCCTTCTCTTCCTCCCCCTCGCTTTGAGATTTTAGTTGTGCGCACACATGAACCTGGTGTGTTTCTCAAGCCACCAGGTCCAGGACTTGAATCACACAGCTGGCCATGTGGAATCTGGCTACCTAAGCCAGTGGTCCACAGAGCTGGCCTAAGATCTATTATTATTATTATTTTGATAGTTTTTGCTTGTTTGTTTGTTTGTTTTTGCTACAGGACATATGTGCTCACCAGAGTGACAGAGACAGAGAGAGAGAAAGTGAGAAATCACCCCAGGGGGGTGGCCATGCCACAATCCCTTCTTCTCTATTCTCTTCTCAGGAGTTTGGGCACATATGCACATGCGCCTAGTGTGAGTTTGAAGCTGCCAGGTATGGGACTTGAACCACAGTCAGCCATGTGGGAGTCCAGCACCTTAACCACTATGCAACCTGCTGGCCCTGAGATTTGTTATTATTAAAGTCTATTTTTTAATTGGGGTTCACTCTTGGCCTTTGTTGTACATTCTCTGTGTCCGGTCATGTAGCCATCACCACGGCATTATACAGAGGGAGACGGTAGTTTCACTGCCCTAAAAATCCTTCCTCCCTCCCGCCTTCCCTCCCTTATAATCTTTGGCACCACCGATCTTTTAACTATCTCCATAGTTTTGCCTGTTACAGAACATCACATAGTTGAAATCATATGGCATGTAGCCTTTTCAGACTGTCAACTCCTTTCACTTAGTAACACATACCCAAACTTCTTCCACATGTTTTCGTAACATGATAGATCATTTCTTTTTAGTGCTGAATAAGTTGCCACCATGTGGATGGACCATAATTTGTTTAATCGCTCACCTACTGAAGGCCATCTTGGTTGTTTCTAAGTTTTGGTAGTGAATGAAATTGTTACCACCATTAACATGCAGATTTCTGTGTGGACATATGTTTTTCAGCTCATTTGGGGTACTCAGCAGTGCAATGGTTAGGTTGTATCATAAGACTACGGTTAGCTTTCTAAGAAACTGCCAAACTGTGCCAAACTGTTTGTCAAAGTGGCAGTGCCCAGTACTGTCCACCAAGGCATAGCTTGGCCTTGATTAAGCCTCAGTTGCTTTATAACTTGTTACCAGGTCTCTCTGAGATAGTATTCGCCTTCGTACGATAATGCACTTTGAGGTCGTCACCTATGAAAATAGCGCAGTATAATCTTTGTGAAAAAGCATCTACTTGGGCCACTTACCTTTATCATTGAGCCCGTGTAAACAGTCAAATAAAGAAAGGTCCTCACTGTTTTGAAGGTGAACCTTGCCCCAAATGAAGGTGTTGTAAGATTTGAATTTTAAGCGTAGATTCTGGTCGCTCCTAATGATCCAGTCTCTTTGTACCCTTTAAGGAGTGATTATTCCTCTAACCCACCACTCCCCATGGTGGTCTTTTCATTCCATAGTAGAGAACCCTCAGATGTTTTTGGATATTAGTGTGTTGACTGGGGAAGCCACCTGGGTAAGGTGGTGCTCAAGGCTGATCATTCCCTCTCCCTGTCTCTCCAGCAGGCAGGGGTCTCTCCTTGGGTTTCTCTCTGCACATTTACCCACTTTCAAATCTGTATGTGCATGTACTGCCTATGGTCCTGGCTGGTCTTGATCCCACACACCCTTGGCTACACCACACCACACCTTCTTGCTGTTTCCTATGTAAGAAGTATCTCCCACCCTAACCCAAGCCCCTAGAGAGAAAAATCTTACTTTTCTATAAAAAGTCTGCACAGTGAGATCCCTCTCTTGGGTATACAACAGAGCTATATGCGACAGCATTGTTTGTAATTGGGGAAAATGGGAAGCGTGCTTTGTCCATCAGGAGAGCACATGTAAACAGACGTACACTGGACTACGTCTGCATTGCACACCCTAATTACAGGAGTAGGTGAAGCCTGTACATCTCACCATGAAACATAGGCCAGGCGATGGTGCAGGAGTCAAACGAGATTATTTCTGCAGCAAGTCTACAGAGGAAGGTTCCCAGTTCAAGTTCGAAGACCTCCCTGAGTGTGCCAGGCTTGTGCTTGCTCATGGTTTGTGGCTGAGGGCTGAGGGAGGGTCATGACGCTGAGAACATGTTAGGGGGTGCTATTTCTCCCTCTCTCTCTCTCTCACTTCAGGGATGAAATAAATGATAAACTTTAAAAAGAAAAGAAAAAGCGTGTTGCAGAATGGTTTCTATGGTAAACTGAAAGAGTACTCAAACGGTGCCTATTGATGGATAATTAAATGGAGGAATTAAAATAGGTGGGTGCGTCAGTCTGAGCCATGAGATGGGTCTGAGATGGACGGTCAGAAGGGGGTGCAACCCCACATAAGATGTCCAGGTCTTTTATTCTCTATGCTTGAAGATAGATGGACTTTTTGTTTATAGATGCTCCTCGACTTAGGAGGAGGTTTATGTCCCAGGAAACCCATCCTGTATTCAATATGGCATTGGCCAAAACTCTGGGAACTTGCATAGCATCATAGTCTTGCTTGCATTTTTCTGGAAGAGAAAAGCCTCTGACATGAACTACCCCACCACAGTGCACTTTGCTCCACAGTGTCACGCAAGAAACATTAGGAGTGCACGGAAAGATGTATTATGCCAGATATTGATGTTGTCAGCTGCAGCCAGCTACAAACTGGTCCAGGGTCATCCACATGGAGTTGGGGGGGACCCTTCATGACCCTTCAGAGGCAGCCCTCATCCTCTGCTCCCTGGACTTTTGCCACCTCCTATGTCACCTTGCATTGTGTTGATAATGAAGGCTTTTGCTTGGCCAGATGGAGAGCTCCCGAGAGCTGGGACGCCATGGCGCATTCGTGTTCATACCCTTGCAGCCCAAGTCCTGTCAGAATGCTTCCCCCAGTACCGTGAAAGGGGATGGAGAAAGGCACTCATCTGCCTTTCTGCTCTCTCATTAGTGCCCTCTACCACTCCTCCCATAAGGGGAACATGCTGGTGGTTCTGCAGGATCCTGTGGACTCAGAGCAGGGGAAGCCTCCCATAGCAATGCTGTTGAAACCTCACCCACCACTGTTGTAGCAGGTGAATCTACGTGTCACTGCCATCGCCACTGGGTTGCCTGAGCCACTCTGACTGCATGGACTTTTGGGTCCACAGGTGGCTGGGACTATGAGTACCCTGAGGTGGCTTTTTAGGCTCATTTTAGGCATTCAAACATGGCCAGGTGAGCAGCATGACTTGGTGGCTGGCCCTGAGTGCCAACTCTAAAGTGTGTGTGTTTGGACCCCTCAGAAACCCCCTTGACCCTGGCTGCCCAGCTGGATGACTCTATGGAGGCCATCAAAGCTCTCAAAAATGGCGGGGCTCACCTGGATTTCCGTGCCAAAGATGGGATGACTGCCCTGCACAAAGCCGCCCGTGCCAGGAACCAAGTTGCCCTGAAGGTAAATCTGGGTGCCCATCTTACGTGGATAACACCCCTTCCCCATTGTGATGCCCTGTGTCTACCCCATGCCATCCCCATGATGCCCACCCCAAGAGGATTGTGAATTGTGCTCCCGCTGGGACTGGGAACTGCAGCCAGTGCTCAGGGTTCCCACCCTCTCTTGTAGGGACTGTTGGTTTTAAATTTACTCTTCACAAAAAGTCTTCTTTCTGGGACCAGCAGTGGTGTAGTGATTGAAGCACTGAACACCCATGTAATTGACCGCTGTTCGGATTTGGGACCTGGCAGCTTGAAACTCAGAACTGGACATGTGTGTATGCGTACCCAAAATCCTGAGAGGAGAAGGCATTGTGGTGTGGCCATTCCCCCCAGTGGGTGATTTCTTACTTTCGGTCTTTCCAGTGAGTGCACGCATGCTGTAGCAAAAATCTCTCTCTCTCAAAGAAAAAAAAGTAATCTTTCCACCTCTAAGTCAGAGGACTTCTGTTTTCAACCCACAAGGCAATGCTGAGCCCCCATCCCTGGCAGGAGGCCACAAACCCAGCCCATAGGCATTGGATCAGCCTTGCTGAGGTCACCTCTGAGTCATCAGAAGCCAATGTAGGGTATAGGTTCTATCCCTGCCTGGTCTTGCTACTGTCGGTGCCTGTTGTACCTGCTCTAATGCTATAATGTGGAGCCTATGGACGGAACAGTGAATTTCCAAGCCATCTCCATCAGACCCTGGTGAGGAGCAACAGGGCATGCCTGCTACAGGTTGACCCCCCAAGGTGGAGGCTGTTCTCTAAAGTCTGAGCTTCTCAGCTTCATTTCAGCTGCATCTTCTCAGCTGGATTCCTCAAACTGAAAGCATCCACAGTGGAGCTGGCTAGGTTGGCCACTCTCAACAAGCACACCGATGGGGTTTTATGCGGTGCATTTATTCACTCATCCGTCCATCCATCCATTCGCTATGGAGCATGTGCACTCACCAGAGATAGACAGAGAGGGAAAATGAGAAAGCACCCCCCCCAGGGGGGATGACCACACCACAGTCCATTCTCCTCTGGGGATTTTAGGTATGCTTGCATACACACCAAGTGTGTTTTTTAAGCCACTGGGTCTGGGACTCGAGCTGCACAGTTGGCTGTGTGGGAATCTAGCTGCCTTAACCTCTACACCACCTAGCTGGGCCTATACTGTCCATTGAGGTGGAATAGTGTAGCTTTTCTCTGCAAATGCTGCCTTCATGTTATTGTTGCCCACTGCTATTCCACTGGGATCCCAGGGTCACCAGGCCACAGAGAGGTCTGCGTGCCACAGATCCCTGTCTGCAGGATGTCCCCTCATCTCCAGTGCCTGCCTAGGCACCATCTGTTATTTCAGGGCCAGAAACATCACCATCTTAACGTTAGGACCTCCTTAACTCTGGGAGACCCAGGAACAACACTGGAAGCCCAGGGTTTGTTCCTTTTTCTTGATCGTTTCACTTGGCAGAAGAGGAGTCATGAGACCAATGACCACAACTTCGAATTGTTTTCCTAGACTCTCTTAGAGCTTGGAGCATCTCCGGATTACAAAGACAGTTACGGCCTTACACCCCTGTATCACACTGCCATCGTCGGGGGCGACCCCTACTGCTGTGAGCTCCTCCTCCACGAACACGCCTCAGTGTGCTGCAAGGACGAGAATGGCTGGCATGAGATCCACCAGGTACAGGCTCTGTTCTCACCCACTTTACCCGGACACTGACCCCCTTTCCCCTGGCTTCCTCCAGACGGCAGGACAGCTGCACGTGAGGTTCTGCCTGTGGGTGTTTTGTTTGACCTACCCAGAGTTCCTAAAATATTTGAATTACTCATCAGCATTTAGAACAGGTATATTTACCTAGAAATAGGCATTTTTGTCTTCTCTGGATTCACTGGACTATTAGATGAGGCTGTTGCAATTCTGCTCACACAGTCTCTAGCGTTAGGGAGCGAATGCTATCTTCCAAGGAGCTACATACCCTCTAGATCCTCACCACTCTGGGTGCCCCGACAGAGCACTGGGCCAGGTGCTTTCTGAGCACATATGGTCCAGTGGGAGCCCTGATTTCTGAGCACAGGTGGCCCAGTGTAAGGCTTGATTTGTGTGCAAGTGTGTCTTTTAAGACCCCCCCCACACACACACACACACACTGCCCTACAACATGGGGGTTAGGAGAAGTGTCGTCTAGGGTCTTGGACAGAAACACAATCCACCCGGTATCTTCAATAAAGTCTTCAATGGGTCAGGTACGAGTGTGGGCTGGGCTGGGCTGAAGTGGAGCCCAGTTAACCAGCAACATTGGGAGCCATTACCACCCCTGGGCTTGAAGTGAAGAGAGGAAATGGTGTTCTAGGAAGGAGTGAGAGCAGAGGGCTTGCCAAGGAAGCTGCAGGTGCTGTGTGTGGAAGGACATGAAGGCAGAGGTCTATACCCTCCCTGCCAGAGCTGGATACAGGGAGCACCGCAGGGCAGGCCTGGAGGTGTCCAGGCAGAAAGAGTCTGGACTGTCCTCCCAAGAGGCCAGGCAGAGAGGGCTGTTACTCATCTTGGGCTGGGGGCATGGTCCCCCTCGCTGTGGTCAGAGAATGAAGAATGTGGACATTCAAAGAGCTGATGGGTGAGGGTGAGGGTGGGCACTGACTGACCTGGCTTTTCTCACGCTTGGTCGTTTCTGGTTCATCATCACATACAGTCAGGAGAAGCACCCACTTGGTCTGCGCTGTGACCGAGGCTACGTGAGCTGCTCCAGGCCTACTCTGGGCAAGGCCTTGGAGGATCGGGTGGCAGGGGCTGGCCTGCGGAATGTGCTCTTCCATGGTCTTGACATTTCTGTTTTGCTTTCTTTTTGTTTGCTTTTGCTAGAGGGCTCATGTGCTTGCCAGAGAGACAGAGACTGAGTCAGAGAGAGAGGAAGAGGGAGAAAGCACCCTCTGTGGGAATGGTCACACCGCTGTCTGTTTTCCACGTCTCTCTCCTTTCAGGATTTTGGGCACACATGTACACAAGCCTGGCATGCTTCTCATGCCACCAAGACCAGGCCTTGAACTACGTGGTCATCCTTGTGGGACTTGGTCACCTTAACCACCAGGTCATGGTGCTACCCTCTTACCACCCACCTGTTCTACTTTAAGAAAAGGGCAAAGTCTTTTCCCCTGTGATGGCTACTTTCATGTGTCAGCATGACTGGGCTATGGTCAGCCCTAAACAGTATTCTAGATTTTGCCACGAAGGTGTTTTCAAAGATGCTAACAAAGAACACAGGAGAATTTGAGTAGGGCAGATCACCTTCCAGGGTTTGAATCACTTGAAGTCCCAAGAGAAAACTGAGCTTCCCCAGAAGGAAGGACTTCCACCAGCAGAGGGCCTTCGGACATCAGGGGCAGCGTCAGCTCTTTCTGGGCTTCCAGCCCACTGGCCTGCCCTGCAGAGCTCTGACTCGCAGCCTCCATCATTGCATGAGCCAATTCTTTAAAATATATATTTTTAATTTTTACATATAGGTGTTTAATTCTTTAAGATTCTTTTGCTCTTCTTTTTCTCTGTCTTTGTATATTATATATGTGTCTGTACAAACACAATGGGACTTTGAAATGTTCATGGAAAGATGGAAATAAAGTACATGTTTTTGTGCAAAAAAAATGAAATTCACACATAGTTTTTTTTTTTTGTAATATGCATTTTCTTTTTAGAGATTTTTGCACATACATGTGCCCGGCGTGAGGTTTAAGCCATCAGGTCCAGGACTTGAACCACGGTCGGCTACATGGGAGTTCCGCAATGTAACCATTATGCTATCTGGTGGTTACTATAATATGCATTTTCTATGAATTTTTTGAAGACCCCCTTAATGTTTGCATGGAAACACACACACACACACGCACATGCACACGCACACGCTATTGGTCCTGTCTTCCTGGTAAGCCCAGCCTGGTGCATTGCTGAGTGTGGGAGCAGTCTGGGCTCTTGCAGGGCACTGCGGGTTGTGGGGTGGGGGAGCTGCTACCCCTACTGTGCTCTGCATGGGAACTCTTACTGCTCCTGCCCATCTCTGTGCTCCCTGCCCCTCCCCTTTCCCTAGCCTCATCCCTGTCCTCCTTCCTGGGTGGCCCTGCCTTCTGCCCCCTACTCTGTGCTCCATCCCTTCCTAGCCTTCCCATCTCCCGTGTGGATGTCTGCCTTGGCTTCTGTTCCCTGCCCTTGCTCCTGCTCTGTGGAATCCTGTCTGTGTCCGAGCTGCCTCAGGAGCTCCACAGGAGGCTCCAGCCTGTCCACCACCCGCCTCTTCAGTCCACGTTTGGCCAACGTCCAGGTGTCTCAGCAGCACTCTGGAACTCCTGCCCATTTGGGGTGGTCTTCCAGCCACAAAGGTCCCTATCAAGTGTGTGTGCTTGCCACACAGCTCGTGCTCTGGACACCAGGGTAACCAGTGAGTAGGACACTGTGATGAGCGTGTCTGACTTTCCCAAGGGGGTGCCAGATGTGATGTAAAGACATTACACGTACGTGCACAGGGGCTCGCACCCGCGTGAGCAGGCGAGGTGATGCTCCATGTCTCTGTGCGGTGGTGCTTTCTGAGCTCAGGGGAGGGTTGATGGTGGCCGTGGGCATGGCCCTGTTGCTCTCACTGCACTCGGCTGTCAGTTCCATCATGATGCTTTAAACGCCCAGCCTGTTCTCACAGTATGAACGCCAGCTCCTGTGGGGACATCCCACAGGCATTTCCCAAAGGAGGATCCTCTAGGGGCCATTCTAAGCTCCTGAGGTTACCTACTTGAAAAGAGGCCACGTCTAAGACTTTGCAGCTCTAGTGAGCTCAGTTTTATTTTCAAGAATTATTTATTATTATTATTAAAATTTTACCAGAGAGAGAAAGAGAGACAAAGTGAGAAGGCAAGCTACCAGGCCCAGGAATCCAACCACGATCAACCATGTGAGAGTCCAGTGCCCTAACTACCACACCAACTGCTGGCCCCGGTGAGCTCAGTTTTAACAGTGAAGTAGGCTGATTTCCAATCAAGGCAAGTGCAGGACAATGTAGAACCTTGAATGAGGCAATGAGGTCATCCCTGAGACGTGTCTGCCTGAGGACATTGCTGGGTGAGGTCGGGAAGTGGTGGAGCCCTGAGTACCCACATCTTCCTTGAGCTTCTTGGGGTTTTGGCGTGACTGCTGCTGGGCTCAGGGTTTAGGCTAAGCTGTGACTTTCTAAGAGATCAAGGGCCCTGGGCATATCCCTCCGGCATGTCCAAAGGGAGAATTGATTATGTGTCTTGTTCTAATTGGCTCCAAGTCTGGTCATCTATATGAATAAAACTGTCACTTCGTGGCACATCAGAGAACTCATGTCTTTAAGAAAGGGTGACCGTGGAGGAGGAATGTAAAAAAGCCCTCTGGGCGCTTGGCACAGGCTTTTCTTGGTAAAAATAGCCGAATGTACACTAATCCCCCTTTACCCATGGAGGATGCATCCGGAGACCCCCAGCAGATGCCTGAAACTGTGGATAGGACCAAACTTTGTCTATGCTGTGCTTTTCCTGGACTATAAACCTAAGGTCGGGTTGGTTTATAAATTAGGCACAGTAAGAGATGAATAACAATAACTAATACTGCAATGGGACAATGATAATAATACAAGGTATCCTTAAAAAGTCCATGGAAGATGCAGATAATGAAAAAAAAAAACTATATACAGTTTTCCTTTTTTTTTTTTTTTTTTTGCACCCAAATTAACTTTAGTTTCATGTTCCATAATTTTGGGGACGTATTCTCATGTGCTGTAATAGAAGTTCTATGATTGGGATGACTCTAAATGTCTTACTCTTACCATTTTCAGTATCAGTCCTCCCTTTCAATGTCATTATTTTCATTTCTCCCCCTAGTTTTTCTCTTGATCGCTGAAAGTGGCGATGTCCTTACACATGGTTACAACACCCTCGACCGTGCAGGAAAGAGTTGGTGGAGCCCCCAGTTTGGCCACAGCCCCTCAGACAGAGTAGGCCCTGCGTCTCCCCTGTGGGGATTTCCAGAACTTTGCTCTTTCCTCTCATCTCTCTTTATTCTTTTCTTCCTGTCTGAGCCCTCCCTTAACCAGGTGAACATGCACGCACAGACCTGGCTTTCTTCCTCCGAAGGACACGGCAATAGTGGCCACATCGCCATTTCTCAGGATGGCTGTGAGGTCATGGGCGATCGTGTGTGTTTTAGGAGTGTCTTGGTGGTCACTTCTTGCTGTGCCAGCTATCACCATCATTTCCAGTCCCCAGAGTGCTGGGTTCCATCTCTGAGGCCCTGACTTGGGTTCAGAGTATTGTGGCCTTGATGCCACCCAACCACCTTGGTCTCCTGGCGCCGGCCCCTGGCACTGCATTTGGGCTTAGAGGCATTGATCCCTGGGCCTCTCGAACCTGCTGCCTGAATGACTCACCTCAGGTGTGGAGCAGGGCTGGGAAACCCATCTTGATAGGTTCACTGTCTTCTAGCAGCCAGTTTCTTTTTCAGACAAGTCTGGGAAAGCGTGTGGACAGTTCCTTCCAGGGGTCTGTCTGCACCTCCTGCCGGAAATCCTTTCTCTCCCCCTGTAAAGAATCCTAGTTATCCTGTGAAGTGGCTTTGCCTCTCCGAGCCTCGATTTCTTCCTCTGTGGTTAATAAATAAGGTGGTGGTACAAGGTGCTTGGCACAGGC